GGATTAGTCCACATGAACGTGGCCCCACAAGGGTGGACCAACGCAGTAGCAATAGTCCAACGGGCCATGATTCGGGCCATGCAGTCAGTCAGCCCCCATATCACACAGCCATACATTGACGATTTGACAGTGAAGGGGCCGGCGATGAAAGAGAGCGACGAAGTCTCACCAGGGGTAAGGCGCTTTGTCTGGAAACACATTCAGGACCTCGAAAAGGTCCTGAGCCTGCTCGAAGAGCATAACCTCATGGCAAGCGGGGCCAAATCCAGACACTGCATGAGGGAAGCGACTATCTTGGGGATAGTCTGCAATGAGAAGGGCCGAAGGCCGAATGTGAAGAAGACGGACAAGATTACTGAGTGGCCAGTTCCGTTTCACTCAATAACTGATGTCAGGAGCTTCCTTGGTACGTGTGGATTTTGGAGGGTCTTCGTCAAGAACTTTGCCGCTAAGACTGAACACCTGAGGAAGTTTAGTCTGTCAGGATCAGGAATGGGTATGGGGTGAGGAACAAGAAGAGGTGGTGGCAAAAATGAAAGAGGAATTCCGAGAAGGAGGGTTGGTGTTAGGAGCGTCAGATTATGACGCCACAGAAACGCGACCCTTCATTGTCGAAACGGATGCGGGACCGACTGCCTTAGGGGGAGTTCTAATACAGGCAGACATGGAAGGAAATGAAAGACCCTTGCGATTTGAGAGCCGGACTCTCAGTACGACAGAGAGGAACTACTCTCAGTTCAAGAGGGAGACCTTTGCTGTCCTCCACTGTCTGAGAATCTTCCGGAACTATGTCTTCGGCAGGAGATTTATTTTGAGAGTGGATCCGACCGCCCTGGCCTACTCTCTAAGGAATTACGTTCCATCGGATCCGACGATTGCCAGATGGCTGATGTGCATCTGGATGTTCAATTTCGAATTAGAACGGATTCCTGGTAGTAAGAACCGGGCAGACGGGCTGAGTCGGATCAACTGGGATAAGCAGGAAGGGGAGGCGGTGGAGAGTACGCCCCCATTTGATGGATTTCTGGATCAGGAAGAAGATGTTCGTCTTCATATCAACAAATGGTCGCCGCGAGTGCCCAGCTGTGTAGGCTATCCTATCTGGCAAGCGCCAAAGGGGTACGAAAGGAGGAATGAGCTAGTCCTGAAGCGCTTTGAGGAAGAAGATCCCTGGGGCGGTAAGGATGTTCAATGGATGATGGAGCTAGCGCTGGCCAGCTCGCATAGCCTGGTGAAGGACATGAGAACGATTGAGGAAGGACCTGGCCAGGTAGAACGGCATGAGGATCTAATGGGAGGAATGTATCTACTCGTCAACACGTTATTGCAGGAAGGCCTCGACCAGTCAGGCTCGTTGAACTCGACAGGAAATGTGGACGGAGTGCCCGAGAGCCAGGACGACGAGTTCGAGGAAGGAGAGTTAAGGAGGCTTTTCGTGCAGAGGAGTATGACGGGATCTACCTAGAGTTGGGGCTTCTTCTGTCATGTGAAATGCGGTTAAGAGATGCGAGCGATAGGGCTCAAAGGATGTTGCAGCGCTACTTATCTACTTTTTATGCCACTTGGGGATCAAGGCTATAACTATATCTTCGATGCGCGCGATAACCTGTCTGGGTTCGTAGACGGGCGTGCTATTCGCACAAAGACCGGGTCAGTTCTGGTGAGCTGCATCGAGGAGTACTACCTGCGTTATCCTTTCGTCAGGGAATTCGTAATGGACAGGGGATCAGAGTTTACCTGCCAGGAGGTGCAAAAACTGTTATCAAGGTATGGTGTGGCAGCCAACTACACCACGGCCGCTCACCCCCAGGCAAATGCTCCCGTAGAGAGAGGACATAGTACCATTACGAATCTCCTAGCCAAATGGACCGAAGGTAGGCCTAATCAATGGCCAAGATACCTAAGGGCGGCTTTCTTTGTCGAGAACATTACAGTAAAGAGATCCACCAAGTACGCACCTGCGACGCTGTGGTACGGAAGGCATGCCACCTTCCCTATCGAAAGTTTTCTTAAGACATGGAGGCGCCAGGATCTGGAAGTTAACCTGTCATTTGAAGAGTTGCTCGATATTCGGGCGCGGCAGGTTGGGGCGATAGAAGAAAGGATCCAGGAGGCATCTGATCAGGTGGCGAGAAGCCGTATGGATGATAAGGCTCGATGGGATCAGTCTGCGCGAGTGAGGAAAGTAACCTTGGCAGTCGGGGATGTCGTGCTCCGCTACGATACATCGCTGGAGAAGCAGTGGTCCAGGAAGCTCGATAAGAGATGGTTAGATCCCTACCGAATCGCACGGGTCGGAGACTTCGGAGCGTACCAGATCGAGGAGTTAAATGGGACTGAGTGGAAGGATTGGGTATCTGGAATGCGACTGAAGAAATTTGTGGCGAGAGAAGAGGTAAGAGAGATGACCTGACCGCCTTTAGAATAGAAGTAACAAGGTGTGTAGGTTAGGAAGGATGCATGCTGCATGAGTGTGATCTGGTCTGAGCTTGCTCTGATTATCACCTGCTTGCTTACCCCAATGTGTGCCTGTTGTCTCCTTCGCCTGTTGTGCAGGTCTGACTTTACGAAGACAGCCATGCCAAGAGGAGGGAAGGGGACACGGCCGCCTCAGAGGCCGTTGGGCGCATCAGGAGGATATGAGCGGCATGGGCCTCGCCATCGAGAGAGTACTCCAGTCTACAATGATGGGGACATCGAGCTATTCCTGGACAGTTTCTGGGAGCAATATGAGGCGTATGGGCTGGACCGTCGCTCAGGCGATTGAGAGATTGAGGGGAGCAGGTAAGTTCGAAGAGCCCATTGCCAGGATTCGTAGGGAGGCGACAACGAGGCAGGAGGTGGAGATGAGGATGGAGGAGTTGCGACCCTCGCCTGTGGGAGTTGATGGCTGGCCGATCCGCCTGGAGATTGGAAATGCGTCGGACTTCATCCCCGCGTTTGAGTGGTTCATGCAAGAGCAGGGCATATCGAGAGATGATTGGATGCAGATGCTACCCCTTTGGACCAGAAAGGCGGAAAGGCCACTGGCTATGCAGATCAGGGACATGGCACGAGATTGGGAGAGCTGCAGGGCACATTTGAGAGAGGCCTTTCGACGGCCAGAGCTCCCTCAGCCCAGAGTCGAGAGGCGGCAGAGGAGTCAGAGGTCGAGGGATCCTGAGCCCAGGGAGGTGAGACCGTCTCAGGGAGGACAGAAGGCCCTAGCCAGGAGAGAGGAGGGGCCGGAGCGGGAGCCAGAGGTTGAGGAGCGAGGGGCATACCCTGAGTGTGGGTTGGGACCAGTGGAGTTCCATCGTTTTACTGAGGGTGGATTGAGGAGGTCACCAGCACACACACGGGAGCAGCCGCCGGTGTCTGAGGGGCCGTTGAGAGAGTTAGAGACGCATCTGGATATCTCTCAGTGGAGAGCATCGCCTCAGGATGAGAAGCATGAAGAGCACGTAGAAGGGGTGCCACGAGTGGAGGTGCCACGTGAGGAGATGCCACGAAAGGAGGTGCCACGTAAGGAAATGCCACGAGAGGAGGTGCCACAGGAAGAGGTCCAGGGTACTCAGCGAGAGAGAGGGCTGGGCGATGAGGGGAGACGTGCAGGGAAGGAAGTGATAGAGGTTGGAGAGGACAGGCCCGCACATACGCCAGCAGTGGGTTTGAGACTCGGGGATGCACCAGGGAGCACCCGGCAGGCAAAGGAGGGGTTGCAGAGAGAGGAGACCCCTTTACCTTCGTTAGAAAAGACTCCTTCGCCAGAAGAAAGGGCAGAAAGGAGGAGAGAGAGGGCAGCTGTAAGGAGAGAAGCTTTGATCCTGATTGATAGGCACCTAGCAGCTCATGCCCTAGAGCACCCAGACCTGGAGGAGCCAGCACCTGCAGAGCCACGCCAGGAGTCATGCCAGCCCGAGAAGGAGATGGAAGCAGAGATCCCAAAGAGGGTCGACCTCCGCACGAGGGAAAGGGTGTCAGCTGGAGAGACGGCTGAAGAAAAGAGAGCAAGAAGAACTAGACGGATAGATGAGATATGGCAGGAGAGGCAGAGGTTGGAGGCAGCGGGGGAGCTTCCGGAGCAGCAACAGGAGAGGCAGAGATCGGAAGCAGCAGGAGCACTCCCAGGTCAGCCACCTAGCGCGCCAGCTAAGGCCCCGGAGATTCATGAGATGTGGAGAGACTTCTGGGAGCAGAGAGGAGAGGAGTTTCCATCGCCAGTCAGAGCCGGGTTTGGGGTGGCCAGGAAGGCGAAAGAAAGGTTAGATCGTAAAATCAAGTTCCTGGCCAAGACCACTTTTGACCGGCACTTGTTATTAGAGGGCGATCTGGCAGGGAAGAAAATGAAGGAAGCCAGTCGTGGAGTACGTCTGGAGGCTATGGAGATGAAAATTCAGGAACTTAGGGCTTTGGTGGCCAGCCAGGCAGCTATCATTGAGAGCCTGAGGCAGCAAACCCAGGGAAAGGTGGACAGACCAGAGAGGAGCCGGCAGGGAGAGCAGAGGCAGCCAGGACAGGGATTGCCAGGACAGCCATCTGCGACAGAATTTCGCCAGGAGCCACCTATGGGGAGGGTTATCCTGGAGTCAGAGGAGGCGAGAGCACAAAGACAGGCGGAGAGAGAGGCGTTCGAGTTCAGAGCCCCTACCGAGCTCGCGACACTGCCAGTAGCAGCGGCGGGCCCAGTCGTACCTTTGGCAGTAGAGGARGGGCTGCCACCATCTAGCAGTGAGCCGGCTCAGGGCTCAGTAGAGGAATCTATGGGCGTGCTCCTTGAGGCGGTGCATACTATGCAGGAGGAGGTGAGTTTGTTTTCACCTGAGTAGAGGATAGAGGAGCCTCTTGAGAGAGAGATGGGGATTGAGGAGGAGGRTGCCATCGAGGGCAGACTCCAGAGGATAGGCACACCTGAGTATGGAGCAGAGGAGATTGAGGAGCAGCCCACGGCAGTGCCAGGGGCGACACTCGAGAGGAGACCTCAGAGGTTGGACACGCCCGAGTACGTCCCAGCGACAGAGGATTTGAGAGGCAGACTAGGATCTTGGGCTACTGGATCTGGGTCTGGTGGACCGGTTCCGGGGACAAAGTAGCAAGAAGTCGTTAGTACCGCAGCTCCTCGGTCAGAGCAGCAGGGGGGCGTCGGAACCTTGGTGGGATCTCCTTCATCGCCACCTCCCCAGCCCAGGAAGAAGAAGTTCAAGAGAAAGGTAGATCAGCTATGTTTTTACTGCAAGAGGGACGTGCATCTGGCTTTGGACTGTCTCGAGTTTCTTGAGGATAAGGCAGCAGGGAAGATCTCACAGGTAGGGGGTAAAATGTATGATAGACAGGGTAGGATAGTAGAGAAGTCTGCAGATGGATTTAGGGCTCAGTTATATAGGCAAAACCAGGAGGAGTTGAGGAGGTAGGGCCGGTTTTGTCTATATAAGTGGGCGAGCATTTTGTGAGGCATCGACTTAGGTTCTGTGTGATACCCTCGTAGACTTAGAAGACATTTTGATGATTGCTGTGAATCTAGATCTGAACTCTAGTGTTTCTACTGAGTTGCGGTTTTGAGGGTCAGGGTGGTTTAGATGAGGCATGTACATATTTAGGTGGCCTACGCCTTGGCCTTTGAGAGACAAATCTGACATGTATTCTAGAGGTAGTTGTCAGTGTGGGTTTGGTGTGGCTTGAGTTGAGCAAGCTATGATTTGGAGACACTTTCTGTGTATGACATTGTACTCCCTTAGTGTATATTATGATGAGGTTTCCTTCAGGGATCATTCTTATATGTGACGATCACTTGTCTCTCTCACATGTGTGGTTGTACTCTGATGTATGATGAGTTTGTGTGGACAATGTGTGAAAAACCTTTTATGTATCTTGGGTATTGTGAATATGATTGTAAATAAAACTGTCTACTCCTCGGTATACTTGTGCGACCTACCCACGGCAGCTGATAAGGCAGAGTATAAGGGGAGGAAGCGCAGTCCATCTGTGAAAGTTATCTAAGTTGTGATGAGGACCCATAAGATGGTCTCTCAGTGATTTTGTTTAGTATAAGCCCCTTTGGATTTTGGAGCAGGGGATGCTTTTGTGACAATGTGGGTTATAATAAGACCCCTCGTGATTTTTGGAAGAGGGGGTGTTTTGTTTTGTGGCGAGACCCCTCGTGATTTTTGAAGAGGGGGTGTTTTTGCTTATGATGAGAGCCCTTTGGGTTTTTGAAAGGGGGGATGTTTTTGTTGTTGGGAGACTCACCTTCAAAGGTGAGTAAACTGATTTATGACATGGTAAGTTGCCTAATGACTGATAAAGTCTGACGAAAAAGGGTCACTCTTTGGAATGTTTGAAAAAATCGCAATGAGTGCAGGGCGAGAGATGTCTCAGGGTGAGTGGCTGCTGGCTCTGATCAAGTCAGGGGTCACGGCCTGGTGGATTTAGCGGTGATTTTGTTTGTAAGTGTACGAAGGATGCCATGCCTATTTAGGGAGGGCTGGTAAATGCCTTCGGACCCCTGCGTATCGCGCAGTGGGCCTGTGATTTTTTTTTGCGACGCACTCGTTTAACCACTGGTGCTAATTCTGAGACATATTGAAGAAAGGTCAAGCTAACGGAAAAAAAGTTAGTACCTCTAGGGCGTAACCCCATTGGATGGCTGCTAACCGGCACAACCTGGTTGCGGGACCGCGGGGTAAGAGTTTAAGGGGAGTTACCCGCCCCAGGGAAATTACTCCGTGGGATAGTGAAGGTTGAGATTTTGGGAGGTCCTAATTGAGTGCTTATCAGGAGAAACCCTATCGTTGCGTAACCAACGAGGGTACTGCCGTTAAATAACAATGCGGTGGGCCGTAGTCCTGCTCCGATCAACCAGGCTATGGTGGGCCAAGATGGAGACCTGACCTTTCTGTACTAGACTGCAGAAAGAGCGGAGTGGATATTAAGTTTACATATATACTTATATGAATTTGATTGCAAGAGATTTTGAGAAGGAAGGCGAGAGTGCCTTCAAAGGTCTCGGTTAAGGCCCGCGTCCCTAGTTTTTGTCAAGACTAGGGACACCCAACGAGAAACCGAAGGTTGTTTAGGACCGGGGAGAGCACGATTGGGAAGGTCTTTGGAACTTATGTTGTCAGCGTCCTAATTTCTGGGTAGTAAGAGACCTGGGTTCAAAACCTGGCAGCATATAGTTGAGGAGGCATAGTTTGATGGAGGCCTCTACCCTGTGTTTGTCGGCTAATCGGATTGACTCACTTTTTTCGTCAGCATTTGGAGTGTGAATAGATTTATAGCTTTCAGATTTGGCGAAGCGGCGGGGACGTCGCTTAATATGGCCCGGTAAGGCTGTCGGTGCGAATACCCTTACAAGGGTATCCGCCCTGGTTTTTGCAAGTAACAGAAAAACGGTTTTGGTTTAGAATTTAAGTATACCGCGCTAAGCGCAGCTCCGCATGTAATTGCGTTGATTGGGTGGTTGACCACAATAGCGAGTGCGTGAGCGCGCAGGTTTAAGGCGCCCGCGATTCTTTTCTGTTGTTGATCATAAGAGTCGGYTCGGACCTCGGTCGTTTTGYTTGGTGATATTATTATTTATTTATTTYTGATTAAGCASGAATTAAGGATATTTTCTTTTGATTGGTACATTTGACCGAGTCGAGCGCACGTGCGGAGAACGACCCCGACGACGGCATCGGCAATAACGGCGCGATTTCGTGCGGTAAGCGGGATGTCGTAGGATGGCGCGCGGGGCAATTATGGCATGGTATAAGCARGCCGGTGCGGGYACTGGGARCCGYGCAGCCGGTTTGTTGGCCCAAAGCGCTGCGCCCCACCGTCTTGTATGGTACTCTGCGGACGTGGGTCTCAGGCTTGGGCTTAGCCCTATAGGTTACGACATTGGACTGACACTACGAAGGTTTGGAGATCGAGGCCGGCGAGCGCCGACGCAACGGCAGTGGAGCATCGAGGAGGGAGCCGATGGGGTTGAGGGCCGTGGGGCTATCCCCCTTGGTTTTGCCATCGACGGCGTTCGATCGGTGGTGGCGTTTTCTCTAAGTGAATCATTTTTACGTCGTAATATTAATATATTTTTTTTATGTGCCCCGACGCCCATTTGGCTTAAACGTGGTGTCGGATTGAGTGGCTGTTCCGACAGTCGAGGACCTTGAGCACACGCCCTCTTTTGACTGGCCTACGGGTTTCTGTGCGTTCGGTATGCCGGCGAAGTTCTTCTATCCCACCCGTCTCAAAACAAGGGCCGAGGAGCTCAGTGGGCGTGCGAGCTGATCGGTGACTGGCCACGTGGAGGAGGAAGTCGGGGTGTCGTGGGCCAAGAGGGGCGCCCAACCTAATTGCCCGCAACTTATGACAAGAGGATTGAGTGTGAGCAAGCCTGCTGGGACCCGTATGGACGGTGAACTATGCCTAAGCAGGGGCTAGGGGGCGCCAAGACAGCGGCCGGAGAGCCCAGGCCGCTGTTCACGCGAAGGCCTTCAAAGTCTCCATTTGAATATTTGCTACTACCGCCAAGGTCTGCGTTGGGACCCGTTCTTGCCCAGGTTGATGCTACGGCTTCACAGGAGGCCCGGTGACCGCCCACTTGACAAAGGAATAGGAGTCACCCCGACAGCGGAGCGTAGGTTGCAGGCTTTAGATGAGATGGGCAGGTGAGTTGCTACGCACTACTTGGCGGATTTCAATTTCCATGACTACCGTCCGACGGTCGGTGTCAGCCAACACTATCGGAGTGTTTGGGTTGGCGCACGGCTGGTGCGCAGCGCTAGCGTGACGGGCCGCTGGTCGTCGGACTGCGCTAAGTAAAGGAGAGCGCAGTGAAGAGGTTGGCAAAGACGAGCTAGTAGGAAACCGGGGCAATGAACGAACCTGACCCGGGATCGCGTCGAGGTGCGCCCGGAGGTGAAGACGGGGGAGGAACTACA